GCCTTCAGCGCCCGCAGCCGCACCTCCCTGCCCGGCTCCTGCAGGCGGCTCAGGTGCCGGCCCAGCGCCGCGGACACCTCGGCGGCCCCACGCGGCTCGCCCTCCGCCATGCTGCCGTCACGAAGGAGGCCCGTTGCTAGGGACGCCGCCGCTTTTTACAGCGGGGCGCGCCTGCTTTACGGCAGCGTCAACATGCAACCAGCTTTATTGGCAGCGCGGGCACGGACACGGACAGGTAGGGCTGCCAATAAAGTTGGTTGATACCACAATGAGTTGGTTTAATAAATTAGAAAGTTAGGAAGGCATGGATTGTAAATATGGAAAAGAAATTGGTGTTCAATTAAATAAGAGGGTGGAAATATGATATATAAAGGTATTTTGCTTTTGTTTAGTGGAAGGAAATATGTGTTTGGAAAAAAATTAATGGAAGGTGTTGTAAATGAAATGATGAGAATATGAGTTTGAAAGAAATCTGTTGTGAAGGGAGATACAAAATGATTGTGTTTTTGCTTAAATTATTTGATGGGGTAGGTGACGGTTGTGTTGATTTAATCTGATAATTTGAGATTGTGTGTGCAGATTATTTGATATTCTATACTTTATTAATAAAAAACTGTGATCCTCTTTGATATTAAAACACAACTTTTATTAATTGATATTAAATAAATAAAATCATGATGCTGTTTGATCGGGGTGCAAATATATTATAGTAAATGGGATGGAACATGTAAAGTGATACGGGATGAAATACTGATTGCATTGTGAACCCCAGATGGGAGACTTGTGTTCATTAAAGTTTGTTTTATTTGTGCATTGGGATGTGCTTTATGGTGTGTTGTGTTTTTTGCAAGTCCGAGATGGGCTATCGGTATGACTTGGAAGGTTTATCATGAGTTTAATGGTTTTTAAGTTGTTTCCATGTTTAATTTAAAACAAAAGAATCACGACTGTGTTTGATCAGGGTTCAAATATGTCATGGTAAATGGGGTGGAATTTGCAGAGTGATACGGGATAATACGTGGATTGCATTGTAAACCCGAGATGGGAGACTTGTGTTAATTGAAGCTTGTTTATGTATGTACTTTGGTGGTTTCCTTTGTGTGTGTGTTCTTTTTTTTTGGGGAGCCTGAGATGAGGTATTGATGTTACTTTGAAGGTTTGTTATGAATTTGATGGGTTTTAAGTTGTTTCTATATTAAGAAAAAAAAATTTAAAAAATCATGATCCTGTTTGATTGTTTATGTTTATGCTTGTAAGTTTATGTTTCTGTGATCCCGAAATGGGATATCTATGGTGCTTTGGGGTGTGCTTTGTATTAATTTAAAAAAAAATCATCCTCCTATTTGTACACTTATTTCAGCCCTTGCACAATGGATGGTCAATAACAGTACAGATTTCCCTTGCTGTACATGCGTTCCTGGAAAACAGTGCGTAACTTGAATTCACATAAAGGGAGCCCACTCTGTGATGTAACAAATAAGGATGCATTCCAAAACCTCGACTGTACTGACCTCCAAACCCATTTCTACCACTTTTACAAGACAATTTTAGTACTCACCAACAGCAAACAGTACGCGCAAGCACAGGGCACCATCATAATGGGGATGGCAACTACAGAAACACGTGTTGCAGACAACAAGCGATAAGCGCAGATCCACAGAGGAGACTATATTTTAGTGTGTGTCACTCCCACGATGCAGTGCATAAAGCAGGTGACCGCGGGCTTCTACCCCACCAATCAAATAAGAGTGAATTTACCTCGCATATAGCAAATGTTTGGTATAAAAAAGGTCATTGCATAAGAGTGAATTTGCACATACAGAACCCACATAAAGCGAGGGAAACCTGTAACCGTGTTCAAAATGTATGCAGCACAGTGGTTGATGCGGCAAAAGTGAAACCGGAAGTGGGACTTCCAGTTTTGCCAAGTCCCGCTTTAGGCCACAGCCTGGGGCAAAGCAGCTTATGCAGAGCCCCTCTTCCTGGCACACCGACACCAGGGGAAAGGTGGCGTGGTGCCTATCCGCCAGTACACTGATGCACCAGATGCAGCGGGAGGGGCATCTTTGCCCAACCAGGCAAAGATGACTCTCAGGTAACAGGCACATTTGCTTATCCGACATCCTCGATTCCCCATGGGTGCTGGATAACAGAGCTTTTGCTCTAGATCAACTAGACAGTTGCAACAAAAAAAATTCTCTTTAAAAATTTTTTCAAAATGCCCGATAATGTTTGGGGTAGCTAATTTAATGTAGTATATGCAAAACCCAAGTCACTCTCAGGAAGTCTTAACTGACTTTTTTTTTTTTTTAAAGAAATTTTTTTGTGTTCCAAGCCAAATCAGCCAAATCAATTCCAAATCCAGGAGTCATTCAAGAACCGTAAATGGCCATACTACCAGCAAACATCCTCCAACCCCACACAGGGCTTAAGATGTTTCCAAATCATCCTATGTGCAGGCCTAAGCCCAGAGGCTTGGCATTTGGATGCCCCCAAGTTTCACTTGCCGTCAGCTGCAAGGCTGCATGAGCAAGCTGGGGAGGAGTCTCCCATTTCCATAAAGTAGGCATAAAACCCAATTCCAACTGGAAATGAAAGTGGGGGTTAATTATACATTACCCCATGCCAGAAAAGCAGCCATCTACCCCTGGGAAAACCACCTTAGTGGTCATAGCATTTTGGGTTTGTTACCAGCACTTTCTTACTTGCCTCAAACTGTAAAAATGCTTCAACTTTGATGACCCAGTTCTCACTCGCTCACTGGTGACTTGCGGTGAGCAGTATAAAGTAAATAAGAAGACTTATTTGCAGGCTTATTTGTGTATTTTTTTCAGTGTAAAATAGTTTTTCAGCAAATATGATAATTTTGAGCTTCCAATATGATAATTTCATATTTAAGACCTGACAGTGCTGGATGCCTCGCTCCCTGCAGAGGACAGGGGCTATGGAGGCAGATGGGAATCACGGTTAAAGCAGGGAGCCAGGCTCTTGTGTTTAATGCCTGGCTCTGACACAGGGTTGCAATGTGGCCTTGGAGGAGTCGGTGCAGTTCTGGGGACTGCCCTGGGGCTGCCATGAACTTGGGGCTCAGCCTTCCAGGGAGAAAACAGCAGGTCGCAGCCCCGGGCCTCTATTGACAACCCTGAAATAGGCAGCAGCTACTTAGTTTCTGAGTTACTGATCCCAGCCCTGAAGCTGAAGGCAGCTGGTTGGTTCCCGGGACATGCCACTAGCCTGGTTTGCAAACACAGGGTCTTGTCAGGCTGCTGCTGGGTGCTGATCCGGGACCGATTTTTCACATTTGGAACAAAAATCCTATTTCAGGGAGTTGTCAGGAACACTAAAACACTGAGAAACCACAGATGATTGATCTAGGACCTTGCTGTCCTGTCTCCTATGTGAAGTCAATAAAGGAAGTGCTTTGTGCCATATTTTGCTACTAATCTGACAGAATTGAACACAATGACACACATATGTGATTCTGTAGCTTGAATAAATTGTGAGGCAGCAGTCCCCTAAAGATAAGCATCCAGAGGAATTAAAAAATGAAAGCTCTGCTCTACTACTTACCATTGATATTGATACTGATCCCCAAAGTAACTGCATTTCATTGTTTCTGCTTGCTGTTTCTGGGACAATTCCATCTCCTGAAAGGCTACAGAGGCTGTGAAAAAGACCCCAGATGAACTTTCAGATTTCCACAGAAACATTGATAGGCAGTGACATTGATCCAGATGATGCAGAATGTAAAGTGGTCCGCTATCTGTTGGACCCAGTTCTGCAATTGGATTTATCAAGGTGACCTAAGTGGAGGCGGAAGGCTTTTTCTGTAACACGGTACAGCAATTCACAGCTAAGGATCCCCTCCTGCCCTGTTTGCTGGTTGCTGACCTTCTGTGTGACCTTGGGCAAAGTACTTAATCTCTCTCTCTCTTGTTTTCCCCTGCCAGTGTCAGAATAGCAATCTGCTTGGAGCCTGGAGGAATGCAGTGTTGGATAGAAAGGCTTGTGGGAGGCAGAATCTTGACTTCAGTAAGGTTTTTATCACTGTCTCACATGAGAATCTCATAAGCAATGCCAGTCCTGATTTGTAACAAACTCTGGTTATGGACATTCCCGTGAAGGACACACATTGCTTCAGTGCATGGGAGCTCTCGGCCCTACTGTTTATTTCCATACTTCATTTAACTGCATAATTGACGGGAAGCCCTCAGTTACAAGGCTTCTAAAGCAGCGCTGAACTATGTCCTATCGATTTCAAAGCTGGTATTAGGGGCATTAGGCCTTTAAGAAACAAAGGAACAGGCCTTAACAAAGTATGAAAAGCTTAGCACACACTGTTCTTGTAGTTAATGAGCCTTATTTACATCAAGTTCAAGCAAGTGTATGGCCTCTTTTTAGTCCTGAGGCTTTGCACTGGAAAAGAGAATCCATTCTTAATAGGAAACAGGTCTTATTTTTCCATTATTTTATATACCTCTATCAATCGTCTACCACCTTACTGTCCTTCCTTTAAACAGTCCCAATCTCTTTCATTTCTTATTATATAGAAATCTTTTAATTTCATTCATTATTTTATCGGCCCTCTGATTCACCCTTTTGCCTTTCCTGGGATGGGGTGCTTAGAACTGAACATAATCATCACTTTGAGAAGCAATCTTGTGGCCGTCTACAAATTCATTAGGGGGATGCAGCAAGGGATTGGAGATGCTCTGTTCACCAGGGTGCCTCTTGGGATAACAAGGAACAATGGTCACAAACTGACAGACAGCAGATTTACGCTAGATACCAGGAAAAACTTCTTCACGGTAAGGGTGGCCAAAATTTGAAATCAGCTTCCAAGGGAGGTGGTGCTCTCCCCTGCCCTGGGGGTCTTTAAGAGAAGGCTGGATAAGCATCTGGCTGGGGTCATCTGACCCCAGCACTCTTTCCTGCCTAGGCAGGGGGTCAGACTCAATGATCTGTTGAGGTCCCTTCTGACCCAAACATCTACGAATCTGTGCCTTTATAACAGGGGCGAGCAGTTATTTTGGGCAGAGGGCCATTTACTGAGTTTTGGTAAGCCATCAAGGGCCGCGTGACAGGCAGCCCAGGGCAGATAAATATTAATTTT